GTTGGGGGGGGGGGTTTCTGTTTCGTGTTCAGAAAGCCGTTGATGGCAGTGCGCGGACGTGTGCAATGTACACTTGCCCGCGTGTTGAGTTGACCATCCTTTTACAATACACATACAAATGTCGAGTGTCTCAAGCTTGACCATGAATGAACAACAGCGCGGCTGCCTGTGGTGGTGGTAGTTGTGGCGATTGCGGTGGTGGCGGTAACAGTGCCACCAGCGCAGCCAGCGGTTATATCACGGCATCATGGCATGATGTGGGAAACAAGAGGAAGAATTAGAGACAGACAGATGCAGAGGACGTGTGCTGTTGCGTGCTGTTGCGTGTTGGAGAGCTAGAGTTCCAGGCCGTCGTCTGGGGTGTGGTGCGCCACGAGCGAGAGATACGTGTTCCACAGCAGGCCCACCATGTTGGAGAAGAGCACCTGGGAGCCAGCGTGGTGTGAAGGAGGAAGGGGGGGGGGAGGTAGGTGGCTGAGTGAGAGCGGGGAATGAGCGGGTGGAAGGGACTGCGTGGGTGGGTGGATGGAACAAGATGGAGACAGAGAGACAGAGCGTGTGTGCAGCACCTGAAGATGAACGGGGATGAAGAGGAAGTTGATGCATTGCGCAGGCACCCAGAGCTGCCAATTCCTGCGTTGTTTGGACAGGGCCACAGAAACAAGGCCAGAGCAATATGAGCAGGTGTGTCACAAAGTTTGCGTGTGCACATGCGTGTGCACAGACAGGCAGAGACAGAGGCAGACAGACGGGGGCGCACACAGACGCACACATACACACACAGACGCACAGACACAGACACAGACACAGACACACACAGACGCACAGACACACAGACGCACATACACAGACACACAGGCACACATCGACACACACAGACACACACACACACAGACAGTCGCGACACCTGAGAATGGTGCGTGGTGTTTCCTGCTTGACCTCACGCGCGATGTCGTCTGCTCGTCCCTCGACAAGCAGGAGAACGGCGAGGAAGATGGGGATAAACGCCGGTGCAAACATGAACTGGTCCAGGGCCAGCTTGCGCACCATCAGCATCACGCCTCGCCCTTTCACTGCGCGGGCGAGCACATTGTACCTGATGACGACGATGGGAGCATAACATGGAGGTGGGTGGGGGGCAAGTGTGGTGGGTAAGGCAAGCGCTGCCAGAACAGTTGACTAAGTTAAGCGTGTACATCGACAGGTAGCCATAAACACAGACACGCAGACACACACACACACACACACACACACACACACACACACACACACACACACACACACACACACACACACACACACACACACACACACACACACACACACAGACGCACAGACACACAGCCACAGACACACAGACGCACGCACACACTCTCTTACCATATGTGAAGGATGGGTGCGACAAAGGCGGCTTGAAGGAGGACAAACTTGGTGGTGCGCACCCAATCAAGTGGGAACGAGCCCTGGATGTTCTGGGCAAGGAGATCGCCACAGAGGCCAATGATCGCCGCCGTCACTGTCTTGGTTGGCAGCGGGTGCTTCTTCAGCATGGTTGTGTACCAGGTGACCAGCCTCATCGGCCCCGCAGGTGACGATGATGTCGAAGGCCTCGCCGACGCCGGTATGGATGGCGGCGCTGACGGCTTGGGCGTCTTCTGCGCCAGCTGGCGCCGTGTGTGCGTGAGTAGCGCCACGCCAAGCCTCTCCCCTGCTCTTCTACTTGATTGTGGCGCTGACAGCAGCATTGCTCCTCTTCTCAGTTGCTGGTGGTGGCACAGTTGCCGTCGACATATCCGGCCGGCACCGGCGCCGCCACCGCTTGGCACCATCGGCGCTCGCCGAACGCACCTGCTCACCGCCAACACGGCCGTGGCGGGCGCTCTCATCACCATCCCTATCCGCATCATCATCATCATCATCGTCAGGGTTGTGTGTGTGGTTGATTGGTTTGCGTTTGAGTTTCGTTGATTGATTGATTGATGGCAACGCAAGCACTCAATAAGGCACTCAACACAAGGCATCCACAGACAGACACAGACACACATAGACACAGACAGACACAGACAGACACAGACAGACACAGACACAGACACAGACACAGGCACACAGACACAGACACACACACTACAGCGTCATCATGCAAACATGGGGGCCTTCATGTTGAGGCGCTGCTCAAAGGTGGCGTCGACACTCTCGTCCCAGCACACCTGTGCAAACGCCAACGCTACAGGCTCCATCTGAAACCGCGTGCCAAGCTTGTCGCACTTGACGTAGCGTGCAGCCAACGCCGCCGCGTTCCCGCCAGCACCCTTCTGCTGCTGCTGCTGCTGTGTGTTGTTGGGGCCAATCTTCACATCGTCCAATCGCTCCGATTGCTCGTACAGCGCAAGCACCAGGCGGTGGTACCCCGTGTTCTGGTGGGTGGTGGCGGTGGCCGTAACAATGGAAAGAAGCACAAAGGGGGTGAGTTGCGAGAGCGAGCGACTGCAGCACGTGCCCA